GTTCGGATATACCCATGGTTTTGGCAAATGACAATCTATGGGGGTACGTGTGCGATTTGCTGTTCCGTTACAGAGTGTCGTGGTTAGAAGCAGCCGTGGTGCAACCGTTTTGGACGTCGTTCATGGTATGTTACGTCGAAGGTACGGTGGGGCATCTCATGGGTGAGTGTGTTCAGCAGGCAGAGTACCGTTATCGTGTGCGAGGGACCGCGCACAGTTTTCATTTACCTTGGGAGGAAATCGTGCACGAGTTGACAAAGCATTGCGGCTCGGAGTCGTCAGTTGAGGACCTTCCGAGAAAACCAGCGCACCTGCGGTATCTGTTGCGAGTGCAGATGAAGGTGCATGGTAAGTTGTTGGAGCGGGTGTTGAGGCAGCTGACAGTCCGCCCATATGTGCTGTACAAGCTGCTGGAGTACCTCATCGACCACAACCATGAAGCTTTTCGGGGGAAGGGGCCTCCAGGCACGCTGAAGGAGAAGATGGCGTCTGAGATCAGACGGCGGTACCCAGAAGACGCGGGCCAAGACCATGTTACACTGGATGAGCGCGTATGCAATGTCGCGGAGCACGTGGCGCAGGAATTGCGGGGCGAAGAGGCGGCCCCCCCGGCGAAAAGGAAGCGCGCCGTGCTGGTGAAAGAGAAGAGCTCCATTCCGGCGGCTGCAGATACGGACTGCGAAAGAGCTCTTGAAACTCGCCCACTGTCAGTCGGCGCAGGTCAGACTACAAAATCTTTGAGCGATCCAGCGTCGATGCGCATGGGGGCGTTCGCAGAACATGGTAGATTGGCGATCGTCACTCAGTCGCAGCTGGTAGCGCAATGGAATGGAAAGTATGCTTCGGCTACGCCGGTTCCAGATCTTTTTCGGGTTGCGAAGCAGTCCGTCATTCTTGAATCCGTTTTGGAGGAACAGTGGGGCCCCTGGGGGTTCGAAACATGAAGGAACTCATTTATGATTGCTTTATGCACGCTCCAGCAGTTTCGATGCTCCCAGGGATCTCGCGTAGGAGTTGCACGTATGATGGCCCAGATTACGCATCCGTTCGGTGGAAAACGAAATGGGTTCGCGGGTACTGAGGGCGTACTGAGAAGGATGTGTCACTGGAACAAACCTGTCCGGATCGCCGAGGCCTCATCGAAGTCGGGTTTGGGCGGAGAGTCCAGGCGGATTTTTTCCCACAGTCCCCTGAAGGGTGTTGTTTGGGGGGGCCTAGTGCTTGAAGCCTAGTGAAGTGGGAAATGGCAGGACTCGTCGGGCCTGTTTCCTTTCTCGGGGTCTTTCTCGTCTGACAGACCCAGGAGCCTGCACGCAAGGCAGGAGCCCCAGGAGCCTGCACGCAAGGCGGCTCCAGGAGTTGAGGGTTCAAGCGGCCCCAGGAGCCTGCACGCAAGGCAGGATTTGTGAATGTAGGTATGAGGGGAAACCTAGTTTGCATTGGAGGCGTGTAGTGGCTTTTCTCGTCTGAGTTTCATGCGGGCCGTTTTCGCTACAATCCCTCATTGGACCCCCAGTGGCTTCCCAGTGTAAGTTTTATTGTATATCTTACGCATTCGTTCATTCGGTTCGTTCGTGCTATTATGCCGCTTGTAGGGGCCGCGGGTTTGGGGAGGGGCACGCCAGGTGGGAGCTGTAACCATGATTGCCTGTAGTACGCCTGTGGTACGCGAAGGGCTCATCAGTTGGTTTCTGCTGGTGGTTTTCGTTACAAACGTTGGTGGATATTAGGGGGCCCTGAGCAGTGGGGCAATGTTGCGTCCGGGAAGCTTCCGCGGACCTCCGGGGACATCCGGGAACCTCCAGGGACCGCCAGAGGAGGCGAGGCAACATCGACGACGACGACGACGACGACGACGACGACGACGACGACGACGACTACGATGACGACGACGACGACGACGACGACGACGACGACGACGACGACGACGACGACGAAGCAGCGTGCCGAAACGGGGTGTCGCCCACATGCGGGCGGCGTCACTGAGGCTTTCAGTGGAGTTCCCTCTTGGGCCACGAAGCGTGCGAGGGGTGTGCCGAAACTGGGTGTCGCCCACATGCAGGCGGCACCACTGAGGGCTTCGGTGGAGCTACCTGTGGCCTGTGGGGTTACGAAACGCGTGAGGGGTGTGCTGAAACGGGGGTGCGCCAGTGGAGGGTTGCCGATTGATCCAGGGTGTTGGGTTTGGTGAGGGTTTGCCCTTCGATACAGGGTGCTGGTTTTGGTGGAGTCTGCCGTTTGCTTTCGGGAGGTGGCTTCGGTGGGTGTTTGTGTGTGTTCCTGGGGGTTTGGCGTAGTGGAGGGGTGCCGTTTTCCAGGGTGCAGGCCTTGGCGAGGGTTTGCCGTTTGATCCAGAGTGCTGGGTTCAGTCGGGGGGTGCCGTTTCATCGAGGGTGCCAGGTGCAGTGGAGGGTTGCTGTTTGATCCATTGTGTTGCGTTTGGTGAAGGGTTGCCGTTTGATCGAGGGTGGTGCCTTTGGTGAGGGTTTCCCGTTTGCTTTGTGGAGGTTGCTTCGGTGGGGGTTTGCCGTGTGCTCCTGGGGTTTGGCGTAGTGGAGGGTTGCCGTTTGATCCAGAGTGCTGGCTTTGGCGAGGGGTTGCCGTTTGATCCGGGGTGCTGGCTTCGGTGGGGGTTTGCCGTTTGTTCAGGGTGCCAGGTGTAGTGGAGGGCTGCCGTTTGATCCCGGCTGCGGCTTGGAATGTGGTGAATCAGCAGTGCGAATGATCAGTGCGAGGGTTTCGTTTGATCTGGGGTGTTGGCTTCTATGGAGGGTCGCTGTGTGATCCAGGGTGCCCGGTGCACTGGGGCTTGCCGTTTGATCCAGGGTGTTGGGTTTGGTGTGAGTTTGCCGTTTGATCCAGAAGGTTGTTTTTGGTGAGGGTTTGCCGTTTGCTTTCGGGTGGTGGCTTCGGGGGGTCTTTGCCGTTTGCTCCTGGGGGTTGGGCGTAGTGGGGGGGTTCCGATCGATCCAGGGTGCTGGCTTTGGCGAGGATTTGCCGTTTGATCCGGATTGCTGGCTCCGGTGGGGGGTTGCTGGTGATCCAGGGTGCCATGTGCAGTGGAGAGTTGCCGTTTGATCCAGGGTGCTGGCTTTGGGGTGCGTTGCTGTGATCCAGGGCGCTGACTTTTGTGAGGTTTTGCCGTCTGCCCCGGGCGGCGGCTTCGGTGGGGTTTCGCCGTTTGCTCCTGGCGGTTGTGTGTGGTGGAGGGTTGCCGTTTGATCCAGGATCCAGGGTGGTGCCTTTGGTGAGGGTTTCCCGTTTGCTTTGTGGAGGTTGCTTCGGTGGGGGTTTGCCGTGTGCTCCTGGGGTTTGGCGTAGTGGAGGGTTGCCGTTTGATCCAGGGTGCTGGGTTTGGCGAGGGTTTGCCGTTTGATCTGGGGTGTTGGCTTCGGTGGGGGTTTGCCGTTTGATCCAGGGTGCCAGGTGTAGTGGAGGGCTGCCGTTTGATCCATGCTGCGGCTTGGAATATGGTGAATGAGCAGTGCGAATGATCAGTGCGAGGGTTTCGTTTGATCTGGGGTGTTGGCTTCTATGGAGGGTCGCTGTGTGATCCAGGGTGCCCGGTGCACTGGGGGGTTGCCGTTTGATCCAGGGTGTTGGGTTTGGTGTGAGTTTGCCGTTTGATCCAGAATGTTGTTTTTGGTGAGGGTTTGCCGTTTGCTTTCGGGTGGTGGCTTCGGGGGGGTGTTTGCCGTTTGCTCCTGGGGGTTGGGCGTAGTGGGGGGGTTCCGATCGATCCAGGGTGCTGGCTTTGGCGAGGATTTGCCGTTTGATCTGGATTGCTGGCTCCGGTGGGGGGTTGCTGGTGATCCAGGGTGCCATGTGCAGTGGAGAGTTGCCGTTTGATCCAGGGTGCTGGCTTTGGGGTGCGTTGCTGTGATCCAGGGCGCTGACTTTTGTGAGGTTTTGCCGTCTGCCCTGGGCGGTGGCTCCGGTGGGGTTTCGCCGTTTGCTCCTGGCGGTTGTGTGTGGTGGAGGGTTGCCGTTTGATCCAGGGTGCTGGCCTTGGGGAGGGTTTGCCGTTTGATCCGGGGGGTTGGCTTCGGTGGGGCGTTGCCGCTTGACCGAGAGTGCCAGGTGTAGTGGAAGGTTGCCGCAGGGTGCTGGCTTCAGTGAGGGGTTGCCGTCTGATCCGGGGTGCTGGCTTCGGTGGTGGTCAGCCGTTAGATCCAGGGTGCTGGGTGCGGCGGGGGGATGCCGTTGAATCCCAGGTGGTGGTTTTGGTGGGGGTTTGCCGTTTGATCCGGGGTGGTGGTTTCGGTGGGTGTTCGCCGTTAGATACAGGGTGCTGGGTGCGGCAGGGGTTGCCTCATGATCCACGGCGCTGACTTTCGTTTGAGGTTGCCGTTTGATCCGGGGCTGTGGTTTTTTTTTTGGGGGGGGGGCCGTTGATCCCAGGTGTTGGGTGCGGTGGGGGTTCGATCCACGACCCTAGCTTTGGTGAGGGTTTTCCATTCGATCTGCGGCGTTAGCTTCCATGGGGTTTTGCTGTTTTTGATCCAGGGTTCCAGGTGCAGTGGAGGGTTGCCGTTTGATCCAAGGTTCTGGTTTCGTTCGAGGGTTGCCTTTTAATCCGGGGTGGTGGTTTCGGTGAGGGTTTGCGACCTGGACCAATTGTCCGCGTTATGCCTCAGAGACTTGCATGCCTCATTGGGTTGATGTGGCCGTCGGCCCTGGCGGACTTTTCACAGGTCTTGCCGTTCGTGATTCCGTTCATGGTGTCCGGCCCTGATTACGTATTCCATTCCAGAGAGGACCGGTGGAGACGGAAGGATGTGGAAGGAGAGTTGCAAGCTCCGTGGGTAAGTGCTGCTGCCTTTACGGCCGCATTCGCCCGACGATGCGAGTCACAATGCAGGCGGAGTTGGGACGCGCTACCCATCATTCGGTCTGTGAATTTTAAGTATGCGGTGGAGACAGCAGGGTCGAGTTTGGCTGTGCCAATGAGTGGCTTACGAGGTGCAGCGTCCGAGCTCCGTGCGGATAGATTTGTTGCCATGGCGAAGCACTTGTACGAAGTATTGCACCGTGGGAAGATAAGGTATGGCAATTTCCGTGTTCCCTTGAATGGAGATACGTCTCGACTTCATTTGGCTGAGGGGCTGACTAAGGCGGAGAGACAGCTTGCTCGACGTGCGAACTTTGTCGCTGAGCACTTCGCAGGAACGCAGCAATGCCGGCAGCTGATGGGGCACAGGCACTTCGGTGCGCGGCTCCAATATGGAGATTGTTTTTTTTTTACTTTGTCTCCCAATGAGAAGCATTCCGCGTGGGTGTTGCGCCTGACCCGCACAAGGGTGAATGATCCAGCGATCAGGTGCAGCGATCCTGTGTGGCGCAGGCTTTGCGGGGTGGATTATCCCGAGCTATTCTCGAAGCGCGCGTCTGACCAGCCAGATGGTGATGCAGTAAAGACCGCGTGTTCTGGCAGAGAGGAGGCGGCCATTTTGCGGGACCATACGGAGCCCAACGAGAGCGTGTGCATAGACGTGCCGGGCTTTGACCTTCGGCAGGTGGCTGTGTCCCAGGATCCCTTCGCAGTTGTGGAGGCACACCAGTTGAACATATGTCTTCGGCTCGCTTGGCTTCTGGGGGTTCGTATGTGCCCTGAGTGCCCGAGGTGCAATCGGTCGCAGTGGGGATGCCAAGATATGCACGGATCCAGCATGCGGCCATGGGGGGGCATATTAGGAGGGGTTGATGCTTTCGGCATTGGAACTGAGTGCCAGCAGATGTCCACTCCACACATGCATGGGCAGGCGCACATCGTATGCTTGTATCAGTTCGGTTCCTTGCAGGACGTCGCTCGGATCGTGCAGGAGGGTTTGCAGCATGCGAATGGACGCACGACGCTGGATGCAATGAAAGAGTATCGGGACTGGGTGCATGTCGAGCGGGTGTTGCATCCTGACGGCGGTCAGATTGAGCGCGACAAGGTAGAGCAGGATTTCTTCGACGGCTTCCGAGATGAGGCGCATGCTCCGCTAAATCAGATACCGGTCTTTCTGAAGGAGGACTCTGAGAAGGTGGACGGCCCGACGCTGGCTACCTGTTATGGGGATGTCTCTGCCATGGAGCGGTTGCGGGCTGAGGGGGAAGCCTTCGCGGACGCCTACACCAGGGATGCGGAGTTCGCGTTCGCCCGCGTCCAGCACCGCACACACCGGAGACAAAAGGATGGCACGTATGTGCCATTGAATGCTTGCGCGCGGAAAGGATGTGGCGGGAAGAAGAGAGGAGGGGTGGCCAAGACGTCGTTGTGCAAGCACGACTTTCCCAAAATGGCGCTGCTGGCCTCGAAGACTATGTTGGTGTGCCCCGGCGTAGCGAAGCAGCGAGGACTACGAGTGTCGGGCAAGAGGAACTCTTTTGGATTGTGGATCGGCGCCAGGACAGACGAATGGCGAAGTGGGACGACTCCAGCGTTTGCGGTACACTTCCGGTCGAATTCCCACACGGGCCCCAACCAGAGGGTGCCTCCCATTCCAGGAGCGCACGAGGAGAGTTGCCCAAGCAAGAAGTGTCAAGAGGCTGCGGCGAAGTATGGGACTGCTGCCAAACTGAAAAGTATTCTTCGGTTGATGCAACGTGCGCAGCGAGAAGTTACTGGTTACTATTGCGGCTACACGTTCAAGGGCCAGACTATAGGGAAGAAACACATGGCACGCGCGTCTACGGCGTTAGACTACCTGACCCCAGAGCTCTCCGCGAAGACGGTCACGCAGCGCATGCACCAAATCACCAATCGTGTCTTGACTGACTTGCACCATCGGTGCGCCGCGAGGCCCGCGACTGAGGAGTGGAATCTAGCGATGTTCTGGCATGAGCAAGACGTCACTAACGCTGAGTTCCACAGGACTTTTATGTCAGTGACATTTCCAGGCGGGCAGTTAGTGCAGCGGCTGGAGGATGAAGTGCAGGGTCGAACGGCGAGGGAGTCTAGGAAGGTGCTGCCGAAGAACAAGAAGATCAGCGATGAAGAACACGTGGCGAGGACGATGGTGAAGCATTTCGCGGACTTGTATGGGTTCCGTGGGTTTTTGCCGAAGTATGCAGAGGTGTATTATTTGAATGCTTGGGAATTTGCGGCGCTGTGGGAAGTGCGGCCATTGCCGGCGCCGACGTCTACTGGGAGCAAGGGTGCGCCTCCGTTATCTTGTGGGACCCCAGAGGATTTCAGCGTGAATCCAGATGCAGAGAAGTTCTACGCTGATTCGGGGAACATATTGTTTTACCCCGACAGCACTGGGGATTTACGGCATTCTTGGTACATGCAGCGTCGGCGGAGTCCCATAGTGCCCGCCCCGAGCGGAACTCCCTTGCCTGACAAGTACAGGTCGCCGGAGGTGCAGGGGAAGTTGTACTCTTTGTACATGAGGCCGTGGGTACTGAAGAAAGAGTGGGCCACAGTGCAAGTGCCCCATGTTGCAGATCTTGATGTTGTGCCGGCGGGTGCGAGAGCGGAGCCCCGCAGAACTCGGTTGGTATCAAAGCGTCCGAAGGATATGGGACAAAGGAGCTACGAGCAGTCGTGGCGGTGGTATGTGTGTGGGCACGTAGTATCGCGGCACGCCCAACGGCTGATTCAGCAGTTCATGGCGGCGTGTTGCGGCAAAAGCAGTTCGACAGACGATCGAGACAGCGAGGGCGCTGCGCGTCGTCCAGACGCCCCGGCGAACGAGGTTGCGCTGGCGCAGTTGCACAAGCTCTTGGATAGCCTGGGGGATACGAGGTCAAACTCGCGGGCAGATGCGGTAGAGAGCTCCGACGATGACGTCATGGCTGTACGTCAGAAGAAGAAGACAGATGTCATGCAGACCGCCTTCAACACGACGTGGTCTCTGTGGAAACGCGATGCATCCCCATGGAGCGCGACTGAGGCGGGCAAGAAGCACTCCGTCGTGAACTTCCCAGTGGGCGGGAGCGGAGGGGGCAGCAAGAAGCGGAAGGTGGAGCACGGGGGGGCCGTGGTGGAGCAGGGTGCTGCGTACGTCGGTTTGGAGAAGCGCTCGGTAGACGCGTGGTGGAGAAAGATTGAAGCGGGGAAGAAAACGCCCAACAAAGAGCAGAAAGAATTCTTGCAAGCAGTCGTGGGCCGATGCCAGGTAGAGGCGTCCGAATTGTCGGCCGCGCGGTGCGGGGCGGGCCGGGCGGCAAAGGCGCCCATGTTGACGGAGCCGGCTCGTCTCATGCTGCTTGGGATTCCTGGTTCGGGGAAGTCGTATTGCTTCCACTTGCTCCGAGACTTTTTCCAAGAATGCTTGCAGTGGACTCACGGGGTGCACTTTCAGTTTCTGGCCACTCAGAACTCGATGGCGGAGTTGATAGGCGGGAATACCATCCACAGCTGGGCGGGTATATCCTTTGGAGTGGGCGGAAGTGGCGGGAAGGCGACCTCGAAGGATGGCGATTGGGGCGCGTTGTTCGAGAATTGCATCAGCATGCGTTGGCTTCTTATCGACGAGATGAGCACAGTGTCTGTGGGTTTGCTCGCTACTATGGAGTCTTTTTTGCGGCAGAAGGCGTGTGTGCAGCACCCGTGCGCTTTCAGAAATGCCCATAAGAAGCAGCGTCCGCGGCCATTTGGAGGATTGAACATCGTGTTCGGGGGTGATCTGTGGCAGCTTCCCCCGGTTAAAGAGTTGGCTCTGTTCTCGCATCCTGTGTCGAAGAAGGACGGTGACAGGTACGAGGCGGGGGAGCAGAGGGTGTTGGCGATGTTCTGGAACTGCAGAGGGAGAAGCCAGGAGGATGGCGTGCAGCGATTGTTCGAGTTGCACGCGGCGAACAGGAGCAAGGACCCGTGGTTGAACAGCGTGCTGACTGCAGATAGGGGCGGCTCTGAGACCTGGGAGATGTACTGCTTCACGCACGGCCTGGCGACTGAGAACCCAGGGTCGTGGCTTCCTGATCGCGGTGGCCGTGTCGCTTGCCAGCGGCCGTTCTGCGCCGGGTTGAAAGTACTATGGGATGAGCTGAGACGAAGAGGCGTATCGTGGGATGAGAGGAGGAGAATGGAATGCGATGACTGCGGAAAGGAACGGCCTCGCCGGTGCATAGTGTTGACGCAACATCCAGATCATGAAAGGTACAGAGAGGGGGACTTCGCAGACGCTCCTTTCATACACCCGTTTCGAAGTCCGACCAACTATGCACAGCAGTTGCGGGCCTTGCAGTTTGCGAGGTCGAGAAGGAATCGCGTGCTGTGGGTGGTCGCCCATGACGAGCTGAAGAGCTGCGGTGACGACCCGAAGCGGGCGAGGCAGGAAGAGAAGGAGAAGTGGTTACAGTTTTCAGACAAAAGAACCGCTGGCATTCCCGGCTTGTTCCCGTGTGTCCTGAACTTGCCTGTGCGGTTCACGGCGGAACCCGAGCCTGGCGATCGACACAAGGGGGTTTTTACCAACGCGCGCGGACATCTGAGGGGATGGGAGTTGCCGCCGGAGGAGGAGCAGCGGCTGGCGGGCATCGACGCAGCAGAGGTAGCGTTGCATCGAAGGCCGCTGCGGTTGTGCATTGAGATGGCGTCAGGGAACTGCAATTTAGAGAGAGTGGAAGGGAAACGCGTGTACTTTCTGCGGCCTCGGTGGAGGACGTGGTACAAAGATGGGGACGCTCGTCAGGTGGAGGTGCATCGCGTTGGATTTCCGCTTGTTCCAGATTTTGGTGGCACAGCTCACATGTATTGCGGCGCATCTTTGGACGCTGGAGTGGGAGATTTATTCAGTGGCAGACCGCCTATTGAACCGCCGTGGTCAGATTCTGGGTGAGAACCCTCGTGGGTGTTTCGTGGGTGATGGTTTGATGGATCTCAGGGGCTTCTGGGGAGCGCAGTTGAGGCATCGTAAGGATCCTTAGGGCCTTTGGGGGCTTTCTTTGAGTTGCTTCGGAAAATCATCGGGTCTCCTCGGGTGGCTCGTCATTCACGTTCTTCTCTTCGGGCGTGTTGGGAGGTGACTGGGCCTATTTTGGGCTGTGTTGGAGGCCGCAAGGGCTGTTTCCGTGGCCGCTTGGGCTGTCTCAGCGGTCTCCTGGGAGTGTCTTCGGGCTTCGTAGGGCGATAGTCGAGGGCTCGGACGGCCTCAAGGGTGGGAAGATTGAACAGGTACGTACGAGAAATACGGACAGTGATGAACACGCAGTGCAATGCAATGGGAAGTAGAAAGGTAGGAGTGGCCTTGATGACGCGCCCATTCCGTGCATGCAGGCGCGGTGGCGGATTGGATTGGCACGAGAAGCCGAATAGGGAAGGCACCGTCCGAGGGTACATTGTGAAGTCGCGAGTGCAGAAGTGCGAGCAGCTTTTATTGGCGAAACCGTATAATCCGATGTTGTTCAGGATGGGGGCGCCGAGAGGGCCGCACTATCTGCTAGAAGTGTTGCGCGGGAACGTGACCCGCGCGGAAGCCGTGCGTGAGTGGGACGCTGCAGAGAGGAAGGACAAAGAGCAGAAGGACCAGGACGGCGGCCAGACCACGCGATGGAGCCATATCAAATTGCCGTGTTGGCGGTGCAGCAGCGAGCGGGGCGAATTGCCACTTACTATGTTTACCAGCGCGTGGCGAGTCTCAGACGTGTGGAGTCGCACCATCGCGAAAGGTCAGGATCTGATGTGTCTGAAGTGCTCTCGTGACATGGGCGCTGGGACGCAGCGAGCAGTGCGGATTATGACGTGCGACGGGTGCTGCGTAGCGAAGTTGCCACGCATGTTCAGCAGGGATATGGTGGAGAGGTGGAAGGGGATGGAGGACGTGGGTGAGATCTTGTGCAAGCAGTGCACGGGAGAGCGGAGTAAGACAGGGAGAGTGGCGCAGTCTTTAGAGAGGTACGCCTGTTGTGGAATTGGGTGTTCGAGTGACTCTGGGCAGAAAGTGTGGCCGGAGGAATACTTCGTGGCAGCCCATTTAGTGCGCGACGCGGAAAGACAGCAGACCAGCGTGTGCGCGAAATGCGTAGTGTTGGAGCGCCGGGACCAGGGCGCCCGGTTTGCGTGCAACAAGTGCGGGGTGGAGAAACACATCACGGAGTACTCGCAGGTGTTCTGCAAACAATATCTGATGGGGGAGCGGCGGGAGCTGAATTATAGATGTTTGGAGTGCCAGTTTCCGAAATGCGATCGGTGCGAGGCGCGCCCGGAGAAGCCCGTCTCAGCGAACCACGTAGACTCAAAAGGTAAGTGGTTGTGCCGTGTGCACCGGTACCCGCCGTGCAGCGGATGTGGAAAAGCGAAGACGGACGAGATGATCGCTGGGAAGAACAGGCTTAAGCAGTGGAGGTGCGAGGAGTGTCAGAATAGCGGCAGTGTCTGCGATGCGACCACTGGACGGCAGGACGACGTCGGAGATGTGCGCAAGGACGTGGACCATGACGTGCAGACAGTGCACGGGAGAGCGGAGTAAGACAGGGAGAGTGGCGCAGTCTTTAGAGAGGTACGCCTGTTGTGGAATTGGGTGTTCGAGTGACTCTGGGCAGAAAGTGTGGCCGGAGGAATACTTCGTGGCAGCCCATTTAGTGCGCGACGCGGAAAGACAGCAGACCAGCGTGTGCGCGAAATGCGTAGTGTTGGAGCGCCGGGACCAGGGCGCCCGGTTTGCGTGCAACAAGTGCGGGGTGGAGAAACACATCACGGAGTACTCGCAGGTGTTCTGCAAACAATATCTGATGGGGGAGCGGCGGGAGCTGAATTATAGATGTTTGGAGTGCCAGTTTCCGAAATGCGATCGGTGCGAGGCGCGCCCGGAGAAGCCCGTCTCAGCGAACCACGTAGACTCAAAAGGTAAGTGGTTGTGCCGTGTGCACCGGTACCCGCCGTGCAGCGGATGTGGAAAAGCGAAGACGGACGAGATGATCGCTGGGAAGAACAGGCTTAAGCAGTGGAGGTGCGAGGAGTGTCAGAATAGCGGCAGTGTCTGCGATGCGACCACTGGACGGCAGGACGACGTCGGAGATGTGCGCAAGGACGTGGACCATGACGTGCAGACGAGAGAGGATACAGAGGCCGATGGTGGCCCTGGAAAGGTGGAGAGGCGCGTGCAGTGCGCGGAGTGCCACAGGTGGAAGGAGAAGGGGGACTTCAGGTATACAATGGGCTGCGCCCTTGCCGCCGGACGCGTTGCGCGCAATAGCCTCGTTCGGGCTCCCGGAGTGGTGAAGCTTCGTCAGGGCTGGCTCGTGGGTCCTGGAGACGTCATGGGTGTCGTTCAGGATGTTCTTTTCACGCGGACCGTTTGTGCTACAATCTTCCTTTGAGGGTCACGGGGCTCCTGGGGCTGGCTCAGAAGGCAGTTGTTGTAAGCATGATTGCTTCTTCGGGAACGCCTGGTGGTCGAGGTCGTGTGAAGCGTCAGGCGCGCAGTACTTGTACAAGCGAGCCTGCAGGCCACGTGGGCTTCTTGAAGTAGCATAGCTGGTAGGTCTTCTGCAGCTTGAGGCAGTCATCAGGGCAGACCTGGCGCCCTCGCGAGCTCTGGCGTCCTCATTCGGGCCGCCGTCGTTCCGTCATGTTCACGGGGCCTTGAAGGCGTATGCGCCTGGAGGTAGCTAGCGCTCAGGACAGAGCTCGTGGGCCCTGGGGGCCTCATGTGGGTCGGTCCGGTCTGTCTTTTCAAGCGGGCCGTTTGTGCTACAATCCTCTTTGGGGGGTCACGGGGCTCCCAGGGGTGCACAGAATGTAAGGGTGAAAAGTATGATTGCCTGATGTCAGACATGGAAAGAGCGAACAAATTGCAACGCGTTAGAGCACCTGGCGCTGAGTATTCGGCGGCGGATTACAGGAATCGGCACATGACTAGCACGCGGCGGTGCTTGGACTGCGAGTTCCCGTCGTGCGCACACTGCTGCTACCAAGTACGTCGGGACGGGGCGCCCACCCCAGAAAAAAACAAGGAAACTGGTGAACGGGATGACAAAGGTTGCAGACGATGGTTTTGCTCTCAGAGCCAATGCGAAGACTCCAGGCCCCGAACATGTACAAACACCAGAAGCGCCACTTGCAGAGGTGTGCTGAAGCCCTGTGATGCTTTTGGCAGGCGGCATAAGAATGTGGACACAGTTTGCCTCGAGTGCTACTACCCGACGTGTCACCGATGTCAGGTGCGGCACCCGCGCGACGGAGGAAAAGTCCGTTTAACGAACCCAGGTTGGTGCGCAGATGGGTTCTGGTATTGTCCAACATGTAGGGCAGGCTAAGAACGACTGGATGACTTGCGATGTGATGCTGTATGGAAAAAAGACGCCGAATCGAACCTTTTTTGGTTCGAGCTCACACGTTCGAGGGGTCCATTCTTGGGGTCCGAGGGCCGGTGGACTCGGATTAGGGCCCAAGATGGCGCCGGGAGGGCGCGAAAAGGGCCCCAAAACGGCCCAGACGGGCACTGGATGGTGTCGAAAACAGCAGATAAAACCGAGACGGGATACGGAGAGAGACCAAGGGGCGGTCACACTTAGTTCTGGGGCCTCAGAGGCACCTCCGGGGACCCCCGTTGGCGCGCCGAAAACGACCCGGGAGGGCGCCAAAAGGGCGGTCAGATGGTCCAAGATGGGTGCGGGAGACCGTGAGGACGGCCCGGGAGGCTTTGGAGATAGACCAAAGTGGCAGGGGAGGCTCCAAGAGTGCCGCAGGAGGCTGCAAGAGAGCTCCAAAAGGCGCACAGAAGGAAGCGGAAACGGCAGAAATCAGCAATTTCCTATAGGTTTTTGAAGGTTTTTGGTTTCTGTATGTTTTCGGCAGAACTTGCTTCGAAGAGGTCTCGGAAGGGGTCCGAAACGGCCCAAAAGGGGCCCAATAAGGGCCCAAAGGAGCTCCAGAGGGCTCAAAGGTGGTCCGAAAACTGCCCCAGAGGGTGTCCGGAGAGCGCCCAACCAGCGCCCGGAGGCGCGCGGAAGCTTTCCGTGCGAAGTCCTGCTGCAAGTGAAGACAAAATGGCCGCCAACGGACGTCCATTGCGCAGCTGGGGCCCCCGGGCCGGCGGAATGAGCAGCCCGCGGGGAGGACCCCAGGAAGGGTTGCGAAGCCTCTCAGGAAAGGAATTGGTACGAGGAGTGCATGAGCAAGGAGACGAAGGGGGCAGAAATCGTGCAGACCATGCGGCGGGGATCCCACACGCCGTTCCCGGTGGGGCGGCGGATCGCTTCGCTCATTCCGCCGGCCCATATTGTCGCACCGTTGTGGGCTAGCCGAATTTGGGGGCCTCTTGGGGGCCGTTTTGGGGCCTCTTGGGGCCTCTTTTGGGCCTCTTGGGCGCCTCTTGGGGCGTCTTGGGGGCCTCTTTGGGGCCTCTTGGGGCCTTTTTGGAGCCTCCTGGGCGCCTTCTGGGGCGGAGGGCTCGATTTTTCAGTTCTCGGTTCCCCTCTTGAGCCCCTCTTGGGCCCGTCTTGGGGCCTCTTGGTCCGTCTTGGGCGGCACTTGGGCCGTCTTGGGGGCCCTCCTGGGCCGTTCCAGGGCCGTCTTGGGAGCCTCGTGGGCCGTCTTGGATCGGTCTTGGGAGCCTCTTGGGCCGTCTTGGAGCGTCCGGAAGCCGAAAAAGCCAGAACGCAAAAAACATAGAAAAAATTCCAATGAAAATCAAACGATTTTGGCCTCTTGGGGCACTCTTTCGGAGGGCTTATTTGAAGGCCCTTGCGGGCTGTCTTGGAGGCCTCTTGGGCTGTTCTTGGGGCCTGTTTCCCTGTTTGGGGTCTTTCGGGCGATCTTTGGCCGTCTCGGGGCCCTCTTGGACCGTCTTGGAGGCTTCGTGGGGACCTCTTGGCCCGTCCTGGGGCCCTGTAACAGGGCTCCGGCATCTCTGGCCCGACCTTGCCGGGACCTTGCCGGGGTACTTTTCGTCCGGGGACCCCCAGGGGCCGCCCCGCGCGCGCGAACTAGAAATACTGTTAACCAGGTACCGGAGATCTTAGCACGCCCTGGCCCGTTGGGCCGGCGAATTTAGGCGTGCTTTGGAGAATTCCTCTGCGTGTTGGAGCCCAGCTTGGGCCAGCTTGGGTAGCATCGGCCACGGAGTGCAGATGCACAGGCGGCTCCGGAGGGGAGGCCCTGGGGGTGTGCTGAGGAGCTCAACCACCCGCCCCCGCCCCTTCGGTGACACCCCCAGGCGCCCCTCTGGACCCCCCTAGGGCCCGCCCCCCTCCACTACGGGATTCTAAAACCCAAGAGGAGGGGGGAAGCTCGGGTGGAGCTAGGATTGTGGAGGGCGATCAATGGAGAGGAAGCATGTTGCCAAATAATTTCCAGATGTCTAAGCCATGTGTTAAGCATGTTTTAAGCATGTATCAAACATTCTTAAAGCATGTTTAGAACATGTTTCCGACATTTTAGACACGTTTTAAATTCAATGTTAGGACTGTTAGGTGTCCATTGTCGTGGCATCCACAAAGCCAGGACAGGGGCTAGCATCGTTACAGAGCTTTCCGGAATGCTCTTGGAGCGTTCTGGAGAGCTCTGGGAAGGCCGCGGCGCCCGACACGTCCGGAACCGCCGCGGCTCAGAGATCGCCGATGTATCCTTGTCGGATGTTGTCCCTGCCCTGGTTTCGTCTTAGACGAGGGGAGGGCGACGGCCAGTCATCTCGTACGCTTTTGCTCTGCTGACGACCTGCGTGCACCGTACTGCGTTGCAGTCTCCCGAGGCGTCGTCGATCTTCGACCCAGGAGCGGTACGGTGCACAGTTTTTGCGGCCCTCGGGGCCGAGAAACGGGTAAAGCGGAGGGAGCTCAAGCATGGTACAGTGCACGGGCGCCATTCTCGTACAGTGGGGACCCATGCCAAGAAACACCCTGCTTGCCTCCAGGGGGCCCTGGGTGTCTCGGGTCTCGATGGTTCTGCTGTTGGAAAGCGTGACCTTCCCACCTAGAAAAAAGCCAAGGGACGTCCCGGGGGTCGCAGGGTTGGGTCTCTTGTGCACGGCTTCTCGTGGTCGAGCCCCTGCTGCATCTGCACCTTTGTGGGCCCCGGAAACGGCAGGGCCGTTTTTTCACCGTTTCCCAAAAACGTGTCCCTTAAAAATGGAAAAGGCAAAAAAACGGCGACCGAAAACGGCAAGAAAACGGCTCCAGGATTGGAGCCGGAGCCGGGACCGGTCAAACAGCGGCGACGGAACCGGTCAAACCACGGCGTCGGAACCGGCAACAGACACGGCAGAACGGAGCCAGTGAACAAACGGCCCTGTCGTTTCCAGGGCCCGCCAAGATCTGCACCCCCGGCGGGCGGGGGTCGGCGGCTTTTCCTCTTCTTCGCCCCGCGGCGGGGCCAGGCCGGGCCGCTGCCCGCGGGCGCGCGCCCGCTTTCGGCACGGCGTGCCGCCGCTTCCGCCGTCGGCCTCGGCGCGGGCCATTGCGCCACCCAGGCTCGTTTCGGGGAGCCGCCGCGCAGCCCCAGGCTCCCGAGGGTCGGCGGTGAGCGAGGGGGCCAAGTGGGGGGGAGGGGGAGGAGGCCTTCTCGGAAGGCGGCGGGGCTGCTCACGGGCCCTGCAGAGCCTGCTGAGCAGTTTTCCCGTGTCCTCCGGGAGCGGACTTCTCAGAAGGCCGGAAGGACTCCCGAGCCCTCTTAGAAGCAGCGGGAACAGCAGAGCTCCCAACCCTCATCACACGATGAAGACGTGGCCTCACTGAGGTCTCAGTCTTCGCATGAGGGATAATACATCTGGACGGTTTGGTCTGATGCTCTTGCAGGAACGACCCCCTGATCCCTAAGTTGTTTGGCCCTCCAAAGTTAGGTCCCATCCCCACGGGTTAGGGGTATCCTGTGTCTTCTGGGAGCGCTTGGAGACCTCTTCAGCAGGCCGAAGGGCTTCCCAGCCTTCTCGAAAGGTCCGCCCCCGCCCACTTCCCCCCCCCCGAGCTTGCCGCCGAGAGGGGGTACGGGCGCAGACCGCCAGCTTGGATGGCGCCCCCCGTACGGGAGGGGGGGGCGAGCTTATGACTGCCACGCTTGCGCCGCGGAAGCCCCGGCGCAGGCCTGGGGCGGCGTCGCAGCATCATCGTCGACATCGCCATCGCCATCGCCATCACCACCACCATCACCATCACCATCACCGTCACCATCATCAGCACCAGCGTCATCATCACCGTCACCATCGTCAACATCATCATCAGCATCAGCATCGCCATCATCATCACCCTCATCATCACCACCATCTCCATCACAATCACCACCACCATCATCATCCACCACCACCGCCATCGGCATCATCAGCATCAGCATCATCATCATTCTCACCATCAGCAACATCCCCTCATCTCCAATCGGCAGCAGCATCACCATGGCCGCCATTATACGCATCTTCACCACCATCACAATCACCACCACCACCATCACCATCGCCATCACCATCATCACTACCATCTCATCATCATCATCATCATCATCATCATCATCATCATCGCCATCGTCATCAGGATCACTGTCATCATCATCACCATTATCATCATCGTCATCGTTATCATCATCAGCACAATCAGCATCAGCATCTTCATTATCATATTCTCCATCATCATCATCACCATCATCAACATCATCATCATCATCATCATCATCATATGTATCATTACATGTACCATCATCATCACAATCATCGTTACCACCACCATCATTACCACCATTAACATCATCATCAGCATCATCACCATCATGATCATCACCACCACCATCATCATCACCATCCTCCTCATCATCACCACCATCATCACCATCATCACCATCATCTCGTCTTCCTCCCCCTCGTTGACAGCTTGGAGAAGATCTCACCGTCAGCTGCGCAGTGGATGTTGCCGATGTCCCAACGGATCGCCATGCAGGACATCGGTACTGAGGGAAAGGGGCTCCGAGCTGTTGTCAAACAAGTCTTTTGCCTCCCTGGGCCCTCCGCGGGCATTGGGCTTGTCACATATAATGACTGTCGGGGCTTAAGAGACAGGGTCAGTCAGAGCGCCAGATCTTGCAGGATCCTGCGGTGCCAGGGGTACATTGATCCAGGTTTGGGTTCAGGATCGTGCAGGATCCTAGGATCTCGCAGTATCCTGCGAAGCCCGACTGACAGGGGTCTGGATGGACCCGGGTCAGTAGATCCCCGAGGTGGCGGGTGACAAGCTGTTCCAGGAGAAGCCCCCCCGCGGGTCCTTTCCAGGGCCCCTTCCGTTCATGCCGAAACGAGCGCCTTCCGCGCAGCCGCGGTCGCCGTCAATTTGGGGCGCCGTCCCCACTGGTATCGTCCCTGCATCGCCATGGCGCCCCTTCCCGCCTATTGACCTCCCCGAGGTGACCCTGGCGCCAGGGCAGCAGATGATGGTGCATGCCTCCATCAAGGTGGCAAGCACCGAGACAGGCAGGGCCTGCACCTGTGCGTTTGCAGCGTCAGCGCAGGGAGCAGCAGCAGAGACTGACAGTGCGACAGCGCTGGCAGCCCTAGCAGCAGTCGCAGCAGAGGCAGAGGCAGTCGCAGGAGCAGTAGCACCGAGGGTTAGCAGCAGTATCAGCAGCATCGGCACCAGCACTGTCAGCAGTCCTAGGATAGGGAGGAGAAGAGTGGGGAGGTGGAAGGTGAGCATGACAAGTTCGATGGTGAGGCGAAGTGAGCATGGAGAGGAGATGGATTGGTAAGGCAGGGTGAGAGCAGGGATGCAGTGGCTACAGGGAGGGGGGGGGACAACTGAGCCAGGAGGGGGGGGCGCGTCAGAGGAGGGCGAGCAGGCGGCGCTGGCGGCGAAGGTGCCAGAAGGGGCGGAGGGGGGTAGCAGAGGAGAACGATGAAGGTGGTGGGGGTTCGGGTTGGATGGGAGGGGTCGCGGGAACTGAAGGGCCGGGTTAGGAACGGATCGGCAAGACAGTGCAGAGGAGGTGGATGAAGGGGGGTGGCGGACGAGGAACCGCACGGTGCGGATGCTGAATGAACGCCGGACTGGTGACGAGAGCCAGGAGCAGGAGGACAGAGGATGGCACAGCTGACACCAAAGCACGCAACATCAGCGAGTCGCCCAGGCATTATCTTTGGTTATGTTACGTATGAGAAGAAGAGTGCCGCCGACAAGGACACGCGGTGCGGCTCAGCATGTGCCGATGGCGCAGCCGCTGCGGAGGGAACCCCTCTGTCCCACGACCGCCCCTCGCCGTCGTGGTCCTCCTCGTCCTCCGCCTCCCCCTGATCTCCTCCGTCTCCTGCCTCCTGTTGCGGGGCTGCCTAGGGGTCCCTTGGAGGCTGCGGGGGCGGCCTCGCGGAGGTCTCTCGGAGCTCTTGGGGGTTGGGGGGGCTTTCTGGGGGCTTCTCGGGGGCATCTTGGTTACGTTCTGGATTCGGGGGACCTTCCTCGGGCCCCCCCAGCGGATCTGTTCGACTCCCAGTTCGGATCCAGTTCGCTTCTAGCTCAACTCCAGTTCGAGTCAAGTCGGCGGACATTCGATGCATCATCGACGCGTGAGTGGAGCGAGTGGCTCCACGGAGGTCCCCAGAACGAGCACCCATTCCTGAGGACGTGCTGGGTCTCTGGGGGGCCAGCTGGTGGGGGAGGGCTCTCTGGGCCCCCCGCGAGCTCCCCCTCATCGGGCCTCTCTTGCGCACCTCCCTGGGGTCCTCGGGAGGGCCTCTGGCCGCCTTGGGGACCCCTCGGGCCGCCTCGGGGCCCCCTCTTCTCGGGACTCCTGGGCCCGCCGTGGGTCGGCCTGGGGCCCCGTGGGCCGCCCAGGGCCTGCGGAGGCGAGGTCGCCTCCTCCTCCTCCTCCTCCTCCTCCTCCTCCTCCTCCTCCTCCTCCTCCTCCTCCTCCTCCCCCTCCCCCTCCCCCTCCCGCTGTCTGCCTCCTGGGGCCCTGTCGGGGCTCCTCTGGGGTCCATCTCGGGGCGTCGCGTGGGGGGCCTCTCCGGTGCGTCTTGTGAGGCTGTCTCGAGCGCTCCTGAGGCCTCTCCGGCGTGTGTGGGGGCCACTCCTGGGAGCCATCTCGGCAGGCATCTTGGGCGTCTTCGAGGCCAGCGGTGGTGGATTTGGAGGCTCCGAGGGCCCCAGGGGTGCACTCACGAGCTCGTCCACCGGAGCAGGGGCGGGGGGCAGCCAGTCCTCTCACGCGCCTTGTCACCACTCGCAAGCGGGGGGTTGGCGGACTGCGCCCTGATGGCGTTGTGTGGCGCAAGTCATCTTCAGCCCATACCCTTCAAGTCCCTGTCGTCGGACAATCCCCGGGTGTAAAAGCCGATGTCCCACCGTTTCCCTCTCCATAGGAGCCTATCCCGACCCCAGGCTCATTTTTTCTCCCTCTCCGTTTCTAATCGAGCCTGATCCTGAGGAGTGCACTGTGCTGAACGAGC